GAAGGAATAGGGTTCAAGGATTACCTACGTGGACCAATGGATGCAAGAACAAAGCTTAAGGTCAAATTCAGGACCGGGGACATAGGCCTTCGAGAACGTCGACGAAGACATAGGACGGTAGACGAGGAAGACGACGAGTTCAAATGTGATTGCGGCTTCGAATGCGAAGACCGTGTTCATGTAGTCGCGGAATGTCCGTTGTACAAGAAGGAGAGGGAAGTGTACGTGACTGAGCTGGGAAAAATAGATGGAACGTACAGGGAGATGTTTGAGGCATGGAATAGAGAGGAAAGGACGGTAGCTGTAGTGGGGCATAGGAGGTGGGTTGAAAAGGCGGGAAGGGATATCGTTAGGATAGACAGACTAGAGAAGACATGTTTGAGCCACCTTTGACAAAGTAGAAAGGAACGATTGGCCATCGGTGATCGGTTCTGTTGGAACAATGCTCCATCCTCTCGAGGACGTGTGGTCAATGGTCTAACCGCTAAGGCATGCAAAACATAAGAGTACGCCCCCCCCTGCGTGTTCCATTGTGGGGACCCCTACTTCACCGTCCCCCCACCCCACGGTGCTAAACTTCCTTTCCCAGGGTCTCGCCAAGTGCTCGCTTCCGATGCCACGGGGCCTGGAGTCCGGCAGCGACGAACCCCGCGCTTCCAGCGGCGGTGGCGGCACGAGAATAAGCAAGGTACCGCCGACCCGCTTGCAGGTAGAGGCGCAGACAAGTTGTTTCCGTGCCTTGGTTCGTTGGCTAACTGTTTGCTTTTGCTGCTGTCTTTCTTCGATCCATCTCGTCGTCGTCAGGTGTTGGTGCGATTGTGCGTGTTTTGTGTGCGTTCGGCAACATGTTTGCTAGGTTTACGATCCGTTCATGGCTGCTGCCGCTGTTGGTGTTGCCGTTGTTGCCTTCCGCAGGGCCTCGCGAATTGTTCCCTCCCTATGCCGAGCACCCTCGCGCCCAAGGTGCTCCCGCCTGTGGAGGCCGTACGCTGGATCGCCCAGGTACACTTCGCTCATCCGTTAACCTGGCGATTACAGCCAAAAGAATTGACACATGCTTTTCGAAACGTGTGGTGTTTTGACGTGGTAAAGCAAGCTATGTAGCGCTCCTTGCGTGGTGCGTGTATGGCCGTAGGTACGGCATTCACTGCTGTGTGGGGCTAGATTTTACTCATGACCACCCTCAATGCCGGCAGAGACTGTTGTCGCAGTACATGGACGCAAGCACATCAAAACATGTTTCTCGGTGTATCTTGTGTGTACCGTGAGCGGTTCAGACGACGACACGGGCAGGCTTGCCATGTGTCATTTGGCCATTTGTTGTAGCGCGTTTGGCTCGATGGTGGACTGCTGTTGTTGCGCACGTTCGTTGTCCTGCTTATCTTCGTTGTGGTTACCCTTATGGCGCGCTACGACGCCCACCGCTGCCGTGAACGTATTGCTGCACCGCCCTCCGCCACACAGGGTCTCGCGGAATGCCAGATCCCGATGCCGTCCGGGCTGGCGCCGGCGCCGGGCAAGCGCTCTCCCCCTCCCCCAGTTACCCCCGGGAGGACTCCGAAAAAGTCGCCCAAGAAGCTAGAGCCACGAGAGGTATGTGTGATGTTTTGCTCGCACCCTGTGTGAGCCTCAAGTGGATAAGTGCTTCGATTCAGTCACTGTATGCTCATCTTAGATGTTTCGAGCCTGGGTTTTGTCGAGGCCTACCAATGAGCACTCCACCTCATCTCCTCCGCATCATTTCTGACTTACCTCTCCCTCCCCCCCCCC